TTGGCAAGCTGATAGAACAAGCTGACTTGCAGGCTGCAGTGCCAGCACGGTTAATTACAGTCCTGCAGGGCTGTATCAGCTGTCTCACTGTTGATTTGCCACATGCTATACAGCGCTTCCAGAAGTACACTGGCTTCGTTGGAACAGCAGAACATTGGTTCTGGCGGAGCAGCTCCAGCATGTGAGGGGCTGTATCCTGCAAGGATAGTACCTGGGAGACTGGACAAGAATTTCCAAAGCTGTACTCTTACATAGTTTTAACTTTGGATATTGGAACCACTTCTCTCATGTGCTCTGCCTGAGCTTGGTCTGGCCTTATTCTGCAGCTGGAATTCTTGCACTGTGTGCAGTTTTAATGCAGATATGAGAGGTGCTTCAAAATTTACACGATTATTTACTCGTTAGTTGAGATGCTGTAAAGAAAAGTCCATTGTGAGTTCATTAGTGTGCTTACTTTTAGCAAAAACCTATCAAATACAGGAAAGTTGGAGCATACATATGGGATGCACATGTTGAAAAGTATACATATGGATGATTCCTTACAAAAAGTACAGTTGAGTTTGTTTAAATTGCAATTAGAGACAGAAGTGCAAAACTGATTATGTACAGCATATTTGTTATGATAGGCTTTTTGCTATCCATCATGTTCCTTCAGAAATGGAGCATGCACGTCTCCTTACTGCTGCATACTCATTTGACTTCTTGTGACTCTAGACTGCTGATGCCGAGTGCATCTTTCACTTAAAATACTTAGTGTTAAATTGATTACTTTCTAAGGTCTTTTCAAAATCAAATATTATCATACCCTTTCCCCTTCCCCACCCAATAAAATGTCCAGTGCAGCAGATGGCTAAACTTGGGTCAGAAGATCTTCCCTTGTGTTCTGTGGTGTCAGACTGTGATTTTTGGCTACATTGCTTTTCTGCACTTCTGTCAAGTTTTGTCAGGCAAAGCATGTTCTATTAAGTATACGAAAGATTGCAGTAAGTATAACAAAGCATACTTCTTAGTCTGTGCATGTAAGTGTCAAAATGAAAGCTGTTTGTGCAGCATTAAGAACTTGCCTTTTCAGTTTTGTGCTTGTAAGGGTGTGATTAGACTGTTGTAATATGGAAAGACACTCTGGTGTTTTGTTCTGGGGTGATTTTTCTTAATCAGAAAAATCTGGAAGGAGGAAGACCAAGGAGCTGCACTGGTTCGGATGTCCCAGCCCTGTGGAAATGCCAAGACTAACAGCATTTGAAGTTTCCAAATACTAAATCACTAAACCCAACAAAAGGCTCCATCTTTTTTTACTCTCTGCCTGTAAGGGAAAGCTCATCTCGGGTAGAACTTCAGACAGTGTTTAAGGGTAAACCGTAAAAAATTGTGTAGGAATCATCCTCAGTCTCTTTCTATCTACAGCTTGTAAAAGCTTGGGGGCAATGGCTGCTGCAAAACCCTTCTGTAGCTTTGCTGAAACTGAGAAATGCCTTCCTTTGTTGTAAGCCTAGCGTAACAGTGTGGTATTCACCAGAGCTCCCTACTTGTGAGCTACTGCAGGATGGTGCTGGAGCACTGACAGCTATTCTGGCTTCCCATGAGGTTTATTGTAAACAAGCAGCAGGCAGGTTATTTCAAAGCAAAAATGGTCCAGGCAACATCCATGTGGCAGGGTGTTCACACTGGTATATTTCTGATACTGGTAGTGTTGCTAAATTACAGTTGTTTGTCATCATCTTGTTATTTTCGGCTCTTTCAGTTCACCTGTGAATCTGCCTTATTAATCTGGTTTTCCATACCCATCATCATTTCAATATTATCTAATTTTACCTAGGGACACAGATGTCATTTTGTTACACAAGTCAGGCAGTTTTGTTCTCTTGCAGATGTGCTGCTATTCTCGGTTACGAAATGGTAGCTGCCATTAGTTAGGATGAGGCGGTAACAAAATCTTCCAGGAGGTTATAATGTACTTCACAACTCATTGAAACAACTTGATTTCCACCTCAACAGTCAGCCGCACATATCCTATGAAAAAACTCAATTTTCTTTTAACTCACAAGCCTTTGCATAGCAATGCTTTGGGTTGGTACATTTAATCAAGATGAGCATTGGCATGATGCTCCACAACTCTGTGTAGAAATGCTCTACAAGAAGGCAATCAAGTGCCCAATGTACAGCATCAATCAAGGTTAACTAAAATCTGGTTACCAGAAGTTGTCAAAGTAGGATTTGGAAGTATAAAGCTTGTTGTGTACAAGTCATGAGGAGTTTGCTTGTGTTGCTTGTCTTGGTTCACCCTTCTCTCTCCTTCCCCTTTATCCCTTCAGTAACATTTTGGCTGCACAGCTGTAGCACAGCTGTGGTTCTTGATTAGGCCTCATCTATCTACAGAATCTGGTGGTGGGCTTCTGTCTTAAGAGCCAAAATGCTTCAACAACTAGGTGGTTCTCACAGACATGGCCAGCTCATTAACCTGCACACCTAACAGCCTGGATTTCTCTGGAGAGTCCTGCTTGGGTCCGGTGGTGGAGTATAGTCTGTTAGGTTGCTGGTGTCCGTTACAAGGCGAGAGTACAGCCTGACAACCCGTCTAGCAGTAGGTCGGAAAGGACTTGGAAGGCATCACATACTGGTTTGGTGAGGGTCTGCAGCAGACAGAGGCAGTTTAAAACCCTGCCTATATTTAGCATGTAAGAGTTTTATCATCACTCTCTACATTTGCTATACCTTGGTTATTGTCTATACAACATGCTTGTCTGCACCATCGTCAGGCCTTCAGAATGAAACCACCCTACTTTGCATGCCTTGATACTATGAAAACTATTTTTCTGTGTCATTATTCAGTGTTATGAATGTGACAAGAAGCTTATTTGCATGTCTGCCTGATGGATTAGGCTGTCATTCTTCTAGGAAATACTTCATGTAGTAAGAACCTTATTTTTGGCAATCTTATTACAATCTTATTACAATCTTGTGTCTCTTTTTTGTGTTCTGTTTTTTTTAGGGGTAAAGAAATCTGTAACTTACAGCATGAAGAAATTATATAAAATGACAAAGGGATGGTTAAGGAAGACATCTTGAGTCTTGACATACTGTGTATGGGTAAATAAATGGTACTTTTTCACTAAATACTTTGCAGATGTTGCTTTGCCTATTTGAGAAGATGAAGGTGTATTTAAGAAGTCTGTTCAAATCATTTACATGCTCAATTTTGCTACTCAAAGAGGACTTTTGTTAGTGGGGGAAGGTTCCATGGTGATAGGGCAAAGGAATTATACTCTGTAAATACGAAAAAATGAATTTTCCTGTACACTATAGCTTGTATTTTCAGAAATCAGCGTGTGCTTAGGAATTAAAACCCAAAGGCACTCCTTTTCTATGCATTGCCAGCTTTATTTTCCAAGGTACCCTCAGGCTCTTCCAAAATATCCACTGTCCCAGGCTTAGTTCTGCCAGGGACGTGTGGAGCTGGAGTCCATTGAGTTGTAAGTAGATATGAAACTGTCCTCTTAAAACACATTATTATCACCATTAGGATTCTTCTGAGGATGTTTACTGGGTGCTTCTGCAGGGTGGACTTCAGGAAAAGTCAGGGTTTTCTCAGATGTATGACATGCTGAATCTAAAAACCCTGTGCCATGACTCTCAGTGTGAGAAAGAGCATTTGTAATGAGAGGCTTGTCACGTATCAGATCTTTTCATTAAAACTGGATGTTCTTTTCATGAGACTGAGAGGACAACTGCCCAGTTCATGGCTAAGCATTGCCAGAAGTGTCCTCATTAGAAGGAAAGTGATATTCTCATTGACCTTCAGGAACTACTTAAGCGGCTTAATGAAACGTGTGTTGTTTGGCAGAAGATTCTGAATCCTTTAAAGTTTATGAACAAAAGTACCTATTATTTAATTGATTCCTTATTCTTGTTTTCCTGAAAATACTGTCCACAAAGATAACATTTGTTCTCCCTTGCTTAATTCAGTTAGCTAAACTAAAGAAAATTGGATTTATACATAACAGTACATTAAACATGCCATTAAAGAATGGACATTTCTGGGAGCATCTCTTGTAAATAGAATATTTCTTGCACTGAGTTGGGTGGGCTTGTGAATTTTTTATGTTTTTCTCAATAAAATAAATGGAGAGAACATTTTATTTGTGAGAGTGTCAATGGCAAAAATAATCAAAAGGTAAAAAATGGAAATAAAATGTACCATTTCCTATCAGCATCTCTGTATTTGTGGTGTATTCTGTGATCCATAGGACCATCTCTCAAGCTGCATTTGTTTGAGTGATCTACTTTCAAGAGAAAATATTGGGATAAAATTGACTGCTAATGATTTCCAGGGAGCAGTTCAAAGCCTAAATTTAAGCAAGAAGACAGCAAATATATTATCGTGTGTAACATGACTCAGGCTCCCTGTAATCACAGGGGACCTGTTAAATATCATTTCTTAAATATTTGAGTTTCAAGTGGCAGAATTTGAATCCAGAGTCAGGAAATGTGTCCCTCTTCTTCTCATTTTTTTACTTTCTTGGAAAATACTGTTACTGTTCAGTACTAACTTGCTAAGGTCACAGGCACATTCCTAACATGTTGCATTATCTGTTGATGGTAGATCTAGAATTTGTAAGACAAATCCCCTCAAATGCTTCTTTTCTGATAGTAGGAGGCTGATTATCCTTATTATGGTGGCATATTCTGCATAAGAAGGAACTTCAGCTAGAGAGCGTTTGTGTGTACAGCACTAACATTCTCTGTCAGTAAAGAGGCCAAAATCCCCAACTCGAAACATTTCTATTATAAGAAATGGAGCTAGTGAATTGAAGCCACTGCTTAAATTAAATTAACCTTGGGTTTTGGATAGATAGTCTAGAAGTCTCTTGTACAAAAATATACCCTATCCACCTTAAAATTAACTACATATGTAGTGAAGACTTGAAATAGCATACAGTTTTTTACATTTCAGCATAACCTCTAGTAAAAAGAAATCTGAAATCAGATGTTGACTTACTTAGGTGTGCTTGCTGGAAAACTCGTAACAACAGAGAATACTGATCCCAGTGGTAGAAACAGACCCCAACAGATACAAATGAGCAGCACAAGGAAAGATTCAGGATGGAGTCATGACCTTCTGAATGAAATAGTTCCCAGGTAAGAAGTGCAGTGCTGGCAGAACTGCCTGGTTGAGTCATCTGACGAGGTAACAGCTTGTATTTTCTGTCCCAAATGAAGTACACTGTAGGGGAAACTGCATATGGGCAGGAGCATGGACAAAAGACTTGATTGTTTTTACACCGGTAATTTGGTGTTAGTAATGTCTTAATGGAGTCCACTGTGTTATTTGGAACTGTGAAAGTCTTTGGAATACAAGAAAACTTGGAAACTGAAATCGAGAGCACATCATGTCCCATCTCCTTGTAGGAAACAAGACTATTTCAGAAACAACCCTCTGCATGAACAGTCAGCAGAATGATTTATTTATTCTTAATGTAACTGAATTTTATATATTCTTGGCCTTCTTTTGTACTTGTGTTTATTTTCTTTTAAGGCTGTGTGGGAAACGGTCTAAGTGGGCCTTAACTCCAACTCATGGAGGGGATGCTCACTGCTGCTGAGGATTCATCCACGACAGATTCAGTGAGATCACTCTGAGTGAAACTGTATTTTTCTGTGTGTGTGACTTCTGGAAAATGAATACTGTCAGCAGAAAAATACAGTTGCTTTTTAAAAAATGCCAGCTGCTGCACGCTGGACTGTTGGGAATCTGTCCATGTTCTGAATACATTTACCAGAAAATGAAGGCTGACAACTGAAATCTTACTCCAAGTTTTGCCTCATTTGTCTTCTCTTTATGTCTGTAAATCAAAATGTAACTATTGCATTTTCGTAATTCCCAGAATTCCTTATGGATGCAGACTTTCCTGGGTGCTGCATAGAAATGTACAAGCTGAAAGAAAATAGGACATCTGTGGTGCACAGATGGAGCAAAAACTTATCCAGAGTAAGCAATATGACCAAATTAATTACAAAAAGCAGACAGTGGCAAAACTAGACCCTCTTACCTTTTAAGAAGCTAATTCCCTCCTGCAATAGTGCAGCTAAGTGGAGTTTTACATAATGAGCCTTACTGGGAAATAACAGCATTGAACAAAACCATCCTGACCAACCTGTGCTGTATTTAACAAAGGCAAGGATGGGGCTTCTTAAATCTGGTGAAATAACAGCACCACAGGATGTGAAACCACTGGCTCATAAATTATAACAGCTTCAAGCACTGGTTGAGAGAGATCGTATGTCATCAGATTGCCCAACATCTGGTTGAGAATTCTTACTAACTGAGCATTTAATCACATGCTTGACTTAAAACGCATACGTTACTACTGTTACTGAATAGGTCTGTGATTCCTTGTTGAGAGTAGAGGCAATATATAGCTTGGGCTTGAATCTGCAGAAGTTGAAAATAAAATAGCGTGATGTCTCAGTACAGTTGGGCAGTACTGAGCTCCTCGGATGTGGCTGCAGTGTAAGTGAAGGCTGGATGCTAACAGCTTGTTCCCTTTGGTGGTTCTTACTTGTTACCCTGAAGTTGTGGCTGTTTCCCCTTTTATTCAGAGTACCTGGGAGATGTCTGTGTACCAGAGCTTTAAACAGAATATCCTATGGGGACATCTCACATCCTGAGAGGCTAGGTGTTTCTCCTCTGCCATTCCTCACTGCTAAGTTTGGGGATGAGCAGTGGTGAAACGCAGAATTTCTTTAAATGATGAAATGCAGTTGTAACTCTAGGGAAGCACTTAAAAGAACAGCTTTCATTTCAGAGCCATTAGCAATGTAGTTCATGTTCTGAATATTAAACTAAGACACATTTAGAAGTGGGTTTGGTGTTTCAGGAGGTGTCTGCTACTGAAATGGTGGTTCAGAACATTAGAAGTCAATTACAAGTCAGTCTGATGTGTGAGAATGAGTTAGCCTCGGCTCCCATAATGAAACAGTTGTCTTCATTCTGAACCTTGCAAGCTAAGCAAGGGCATTTGTTCAAGAAACAGTGTTCCTGTAGGAAACCCACGACTGTACTGCTTGCTGTTTAGCAGCTAATTAAACATTTTTATGTGCAGCAGATGCTGCATGGCGTTAAAGCCTCCCAACCTTTAAACTGCCTGTCATGCTGCCCGTGGACCGGTCCTTCCCATTGCAGGTGTTACTGTACAGTTTGTAACCTGAACTGGCCGCGTCTGTCTTGTGTGGCTGAAATACCCATTGCATATCTTGATTTGGCTTTATGAACTTGCTTTGTGTATAGCAATGTCATGGGTCATTTCTTGCTCTTTGGAGAGAGTTTTGCAAATCCCAGTTTAATAGTTCCTAGTTTGCTCCATCTGTTGACACGCTGCCAGCGTTCAAGTCTGCTCAGTAAATCTTTTGTGGGACGTAAGAAAGTCCTTCCTCATCATCCATATAGGCTGAAATCTTAAACTGTGTTCTGTAAATCATTTATCTCTCTGCTTTTTAAAGAGTGGCCTACCTTTCCCCTTGAGGCCATTGGTCTTGAATGTATTTATTTTTCTGGCAGAGCGCCACGAATGAATCATGGCCTGGAGCAGCTTACGGTCTGAACTCCTCTCTATTGTTAACCTAAAATACTTCATGCAGTTGTTACAGCGTTTTGCTATGTAAAACTTAATAGAAGAGAGATTCATTTCAGACTTGTTAGTTGCTTTTGAAGTTCCTTGGCACTATGTGGAAATGATTTCTTATGGTCATACAGCTGTAGTCCACTAAAACAACTAGTAATTGTTGCACGGGAAGTTAGTACATGGGAATATGTTACCAGCTCTTTGTTGTAATGAGGTGTGTTTGTCCTTTTCACAACAAATAGTCACTTTAGCTTTTCATTCCATTTGTACTTTTCCTGTTTATGCCTTCCTGCTTCATTTCCATACTGCTTTATTGTTTTATTGTTTCTCTTAACTCTCGAGTCTTTCATTCTGTTCTTCAGGCATTCCTCTCTTCTGGTTCGCCTGTTCCACCGTGGATATTGTTTCATGCTCCATCCCCTTTTTTTCCTGTGTAACAGTGCTTTCATTAAAGGCAACCAGGCAGATGATTTATTTCTTGATGTCTTAAAAGGCTTCTTTATAATGACGAGCCTGGACCCAATCAAACTACTAAGGACTTCCGTAGGTGAGTCAGCATCATGGGCCTTGCTGGCTCTGAGGGCAGCAGTGCCAGTGGAGTATGGAACTCATACTTCAGAGGGAATAAACCAGATGACACAGGATGAATGGGAAATCAAGGTTTGACTGGATACATAACCACAGATTCTGGTTTGCACTTCTCTTTACAGTCTGATCTCAGTATTGTGTCCCTTTATTAACTGTCCTACCACTGTGAGCAACCCATCTGGCTGCTGCTAAACTTATGATCTGGGGAGTGCATAAAACTACCGCCCAGGATGCTGACTTCCTCCATCAACATGTGTAAGGTGTGTTCCTTATCACTTGCTTATTTCCCCTTTTTCCAAGTATTTGAGCAGCGAGTTCCTCCAGATGGCTGCTATGTGACCCTTCAATACCAGCTCCATTGAATACACCAGACTTAGTTTCAAATGTAGAGGCTGTGTTTCTCACCTGTGCTTCAGTAAGGTTTCTCTTCAGATTTGGTTGACCTTCAGTGTCAGTGAATTTGCTGAACAGATGGAGAGCAACAGCTGCAGCCTTATCACAAATGAGGTGCCTCTAGGTTTGGCTGGAAAAGCGCGATCCCTTTCTGTTGCAGAGCTGGACTTTACAGTATCCCACAGCTTCCTGATGTTTGCAACAAAACACCTTTGCCAAACTGGGAAGAGAAGGATGGAGCTAGAGGCTACTATTGGTGGGTGGCTTATGGAACTGAACTGTAGGGTCCATGTTCTTTAAATCCATGGAGGTGGTAATGCTAGAGCCTGTTCTGACTTGGGAAACTGTAGAGTAAACATAGCACTTGGTGCCTGTCCAGTCGAGGGGGACCCAAGCAGGGTGGTGACTCATGCCTTTTCCCAGCAATTACTTTAAAAATAGAATTGAAATTGAAATATGCTTTGCAGGTCAGGATGTCAGGTCAGTGTGTGTGATAGTTTTTCATGGGTAAGGTGCTGACAGAGGACAAAGCATTCTTCATTTTCAAATTCACTTCTGCTGGCCACGTAGTCTAAATGTGTGGAAAATGAATTTTCTTTGTACTGCCTACTGCAGGAAGAACAGCTGTTACCTTTGTAAAGCTATTTTCAAGTATGTTTTTGAGTGAACAGCTGCTCTGTCACTTTTGATACTGTAGTTTCATACAGTTCTGTAGTGACCTTATTTACCTGGTTTTCTAGATAAAAATCTACAGTGCAGTTGTTAACTGATCCTGAACTTAATGACTGCTTTAGGGAGCCTCTTGCACGTTTTAACCTCTAACTCAAACTTGTTAAATCACAAATGTCAAGAAATTGATTAGGTTTTAGTACAGGAACAGGAAGCTTCAGACTACACATCCTGGAACTGGTCATGAAAACTCCCCAAGATTTCAGTTACATCTTTAGTCTCAGAACTTACATGCCGTTTCAACGTTCAGAATCCAACCTGCTGCCCAAGCCTTTTCATTAATGGTGGATGGCTGATTTGACAGTGAAGCACATACTGTTTCTGAGGAAATGAAAGTCATGCAGCTGCAAAGACTAGTATTCTGACCTGCCTGAAACTTCATGCCAGTGTAATGGCTATGGAAGACTTTTCCTGGTTTTAAAATTGAGTAGAAGCGGATTGTGAGGAGTTTGCAACCAGAAGGGGCTGTCTTTAAAAAATAACAATAAAAAATACCTTAAAAAGTTATCATACTTCTGTTGTCTTTTGGTTCCTTCACTTGCCTTGGTTGTACCTAGAGGCTTTCTTTGAAAGACTTCAGCCTGATGTTTAAGATGCCTCCCCTCCTCAATTAACCAAGCTAAGTCAATAGTTTGGTTAGATAATCTTGTTTTGGCTTTATTAAACTTGTTTGTGTGACTTCTCTTGCATGGAAGCTCTTTAGCTCTATGGTGCACTTGGTAAATTTGAAAGCTTGTGTTCCCACACCATGGGTTATATTTTTTAATCTCTTCCTCCTTGCCAAGGTCTCTCCAAAGCTTCTGTGTTAAAATTAGATGTGCAGCATGGGAAGGGGGCAGTGTTTCTGGGGTCTGTGGGTTTGGATTTTTCTTTCAGTGTTGCCATCTTCAAGTTGTCTTGCTCTTCATCAGCGATGAAATGCCTGACTCACTCCCTGTATGAGACAACAGTGAGAGCCAAGAAGTTTGTAGCTTCTTAGAAGGCTCCAAGCAGTGGTGCGGGAGGGGGAAGAGCTGATAGGAAGCAGCATGCCAATATCTTTCTCCTGGTGCTGTCGCAGAGCTTTGGCATTACAGCCTGGGGCAAAGCCATTTAAATCCAAATGATTTTCACAACCAAATCTAGCCAATCTTTTTTTGTCTTTTTTTGTTCCCTTATTGCCTCCCATGTCTGGTAATGGGGCATAGAGCCTAAAGGATGGATGAGGCTGTGCACACTGCACACTGCTGTACGCTGACCCTGCATTTTGTCAAGTAGTTGACTGAGTCAGTAGCAATTTGACAGTTTGAAAGTGAGTTTGTACAGACAGCAGTTGATGATGAACTACATCACTGTGCTGTAAGTTCTCATGACATTTTAAAATGGATTACATTTAAAGGTTGTACTTGCATAGGTGCTTTTAAAATAAAGCATCTGCTTTCTCCTGCTTTACTTTTTGAACTCCTCTGTTCCCTCTCTAGTTTATTTGTGACTAATCTCAGTGGGATTCTTTTTCCAACATAAAACTGAAATTGTGTTGTTTGTATTTAAAACAATAGAAAACCTCCCAGAACCCCAGACCCTTCTACCTTCCTTGATTTCATGACTGAGCTGATCTGATGGCTGGCTGGTGTTCCACTTGGATTAGTGCAGCTGCCCGAGTGGTGATGTGGTTCTTGTCCCCCATAAAGGCAGGG